TTAGGATGCCTCCTGAGCACCTCCATGGTGAGGTGTTCTGGACCTAGGACACATTGGAGGAACTATGTTTCTCGGCTGGCCTGGGAACGCCGTGGGATTCCTCCGGAGGAGCTGGCCTAAATGGCTGGGGAGAGGGAAGTCTGGGCCTCCCTGGATGCTACCCCCGTGACCCGACCCCGGATAAGCGGAAGAAAATGGATGAATGGATACAACAAAGTCCATGCTCAATAATCCAGGTATAAAATCCAACATTTTTCAGTCAGGTCATCTGGACAGTTTCTTTTTTTGTGCTGAAACGTTTCGCCTTTGATCCGGAAGGCTTCATCAGTCAAGGAAACACATAACAAAACTGATTCATCCTCCAACAGCTTAATCCAAAGTGGAACAAACCAGTTCTGCTTGTGATTAGATGGTCTCTTTGGTATGCCCCTCCTCCATTGCCGGCCTTCTTCCTTGTTGACAGTCTTGTCAAACTGGTTGAAAACAACAAAGTCCATGCTCAATAATCCAGGTATAAAATCCAACATTTTTCAGTCAGGTCATCTGACTGACAGTTTCAAAAGAAACTGTCCTGATGACCTGACTGAAAAATGTTGGATGAATGGATTTTTCCTGTTACACAACTTTCCTAAGCTTTCATTGACTTTTACCTTAACAATTGTCAAATATGTTGCACAACATCTAACTCATCATGTGCTATTTTAAATGTGTTTTGTTTTGTTTTAATTACTCTGTGAATATTCTGTTTTTGGCAACGAAAAAAGAGAAAAAAAAACAAATATTTCTTCTTCTTCAGATTTGAATGGTTTCTGTAAAGATATAAAACAGTGTTTGAGAAACAGCTTCAGACAAAGCCTGATGTATTGTTTCTCTTCACTGCAGTGTGTCACAGCAGCTCGCTCCACTCATCACTTCAACCTAAAAATGCATGCGTTTGACACCAAACAAACTTCAGCTTTTGAAGGGTCTTGATGAGCTTTCAAGTGTAGTAAGACCTCAAAGCATGAAAAACGGTGGTCATGATGCATGTTTTCAGTCCATTAACACGAGGCATGTGTAAAAACAGTGAATATCTGTGAGGCCTCTCTGCTGGTCTCTGATCAATACGCTCCTCTGTTTCAGGAGCTTCACTGCTGTCCCACGGTTGCTGACCTCAAGTATTTTCTCACATCTGGACTGCTGAGCTCACATTGAGATCAGGAGACCCGCCGTCATCAGTGATGCTCCAGTGCAAACACAACACTCACTGAAAAAAACCAACAGGAGCCTTTGGCTGCTTTCCCTCTGAACCAAACACACAATCTGATTAGTGGTTTCCTTCCGTGTTACCCCGCTGAATACAAGACAACCTATCTAAACTTATAATGTCCAGTGGACTTGTCAAAGGTACACTAACGACGCAGAGCCTGTCTACTCATTATTGTTTTAAATTTCTTGACCCAGAACAAGAATATTTGACGTCAATTATACAACTTTTTTTTTTTCCAAGATAAGATCTAAATCTTTATTCAAGGCTCACAAAACATTTCACAGATTTCTTCAAATTCTCTCAAGGGATGTGGGGCCAGCTAATGTGTCCTTGGCTGGCTTATTATTTTTCCCCCTCTTTGCCCTGTTGGAGACTGAACACCCCCCCAACCTCCCTCTTCATGCATCCCTTTTTAAAATTGTACAGCTCTTAGAAAAGTTTGCCATCAGCTGATCATAGAGTAAAAGAATTTCTGGTTCTTCAACTCTAATGCTGAAGAAGTTTGGAACGCTGTGTAAAATCTAAAAATGTTGTTAATAAATAAAGCTACTATTTGCAAATCTAACAAACTCACATTTTATTTTTAATAGAACGTAGCAAACGCATCATGTTTACAATAAGAAGCTGTACAGTGTGTAAGGAAAAACAAGGCAACTTTGAGTTTGAGGACAGCAACACGTTTAAAAAGTGACTGGATGAGCAACAAAGGTTTTCAAGCAATTATTATGAACAAGAAACAAGTGGAGGAGCATTTTGCAACAAATTAGGTTAATTGTCAATGGGGGAGTAAGAGGAGTGATATGGAAAATAATTTTAGAGAGGCTGAATCTCTCAGAAGTAAAGATGGGCAGAGGTTTTGCAAAAACTGTCCAAAAAGTGTAGAACCATAAAAATAATGTTCCTCATTTGAGAAATGGGAAGAATATCTCAGCATCTACAGTTCATAATACCATGAAAATAATTTAATGAATATAGAAAAATCTCTGTATCAAGGACAAGACTGAAAGTATGTCGGAGATCTTTAGGTTCTCAGGTGGCTCTGCATTAAAAACAAGTTTGATCCTGTTCTGAACATCATTGCATGGGCTCTCAAACACCTCCACAAGCTAGCTGCACCACCTAATCTATCGTTCAAAGCAAAAAGCCACGTGAACAACCTCCGCTGTCGTCTTCTCTGGGCGAAGGTTCATTTAAAACAGACTGAGGCAAAGAGAGCTGTTCTGTACATAAACTGAACTTGAAATTATTTGTGGAAATAACAGACACCACATTCTTTACAGGAGAGGGACCATGAGTTATTAGGGCTCAGTTCAAAACCTGCCTCTCTGCTGGTATGGGGGTGCAGTGTTGCCTATGGCATGGACAGCTTACTCATCTGGAAAAGCACCAGAAATGTATCCACAGGATTTAGAGCGACATAAGCTCCGATTCAACAAACAATCCAGAAATGAAGACCAAGAACTAATTAACAGCTAAAGTTCAATGTCATACAAAAACGGGAAAACATTCACCTCCAAAAACCTCAACATCTGGCCTCCTCAGCTCCCAGATGTTTACAGAGTGTTGTTAAAAGAAGAGAGGATGCTTCACTGTGGTAAACATGGCGCTGACTCAGCCTTTTTGATACCATTTCAAAATTCAAAGTTACCTTATGCAATTATTTAAGTTTAAGCATTCAGTAAATTCACTATGTTTGATTGTGAATAAAAATATGGTTCATGAATTATCACATTGTTTTTATAAACTTTAGACTGGCCCAACATTTTTGGTAATCTGGGATGTATGCTGATTTATTTTAGTTTTCAGGTTGTCTCTCATTTCACGTATTGCTCGTGAAATGTAGCAACATCTGTATGTTTTTGAAATGGTTTAGATTTTTGTCATTGCCTCACCGTAGAAAAACTTGATATAGTTTTGCCCAAATGAGTCTGTTTTGAACGAGACACAGTTACAGAAACTCACCTAAGGGAATAATTCAAGCAGAAACACTCAAACCATTCTAACTAGAGAAACTGCAGTTCCTGCAAAAACGCAGTGTGAATGCTTATTGCACAAGAACTTGCTAAAAAAACAGCGAAAATCAGCTAAAAAAAAAAACATGCTGAAATGGACAAACAAGCTTAAATTAGCAAAAGAAAGCTGAAAAAAACACATATTTACTGAACTGGGTTTAATAAAATGATAAATTAAATGAACAAAAAATAGCTGAAAAGTAGATGAAAAGGCAAAAAGAAGCTTAAACTACCAGAAGAAAGCAGAAAGAGCTGAAATGAAAAAAAGTTTTGTAAACTTAATCATCCAACAAAAAAAAGATAAAATCATGTCAAATGAGATAAAAAAAAAAAGTGAAATTAGCTGAAAAAAATCTACAAATTAGCATAAAAACAGCTAAATAGTAGAGAAAATTGCAGAAAAAGCTGAAACTTGCAGAAATCAGCTTAATGGACCCAAACAAGCTGAAGTTAGAAGAAGTGCAAAAATGTTGTAGTTAGCAGAAATAATCTGAAAGGAGCACAAAACAGCTGAAATTAGCTACTAGTAGCTGAAAAAGGTTACATTTGCACAAGGAAGCTGAAAAGAGCTGAACAAAAAGTGAATGGAGCAGTAAAAGGTTGTAAATAGATGTAAAGGTTTGAAGGATGTAAAATGAGCTTTATTCATTTTCTATGAGAAAAAAATGGCAGAAAATGCTAAATATTTCAAAAAGCTAAAGTTGTACCAATACCAAAAGTCATAGCACCTTCTCCTGAAAGAGCTGAACATTTTGATTTATATATATTTTTTCTTCTTCTTCTTTTGGCTGCCCCCTTCTTCAAGGGTCGCCACATCGAACTAAGTCGCATAAAGACCTGGCGATTGTTTTTACACGGGATGTCCTTCCTGACACAACCACCGAGCTACCACAGCCCTCTGTGTGGAGCAGAGAGCTGCCATCAAGGGTGCCCGGGGGAGCACATGGTGGGGGTGAAGGGCCTTGCTCAAGGGCCCAGAGTGGAGCAAATGAGGGTGGAGGCAGGTGTGGGTGCTTCACCTATCCCACCCACATTTTGATGTCGTCAGTACCGGGAGTTAAACCAGCGATCTTCCGATTTATCACAGGCCCACCTTCTCTAACCTCTGCACCACCATGCACTCCCTCAAACATTTTGATGCACGATTTGTTGAAATAGCCAAAAATTGTGGAACGAGAAAGATGCAGAAAAACCTACGGCAGAAGATAAGAAGTCGAAAATGGATCTCAAAAGTGAGTGGTTCGAGCAGTCGTCAACCAGTGCAAGAGTTGGGGGTTCGATTCCACCAGCAGTCACAAGCCCAAGTGTCCCTGGGCAAGACACTGAACCCCTCATAGTCTCTGATGTGTGTCCCATCAGTGTATGAATGTAATAAAGCTCTGATTATTCTGTGTATAGATCTAGTTTAATGCTGTATGAATGGGTATATGAGACACAGATTGTGCTGTAAAGAGCTTTGAGTGTCTTGATCAGATAGAAAGGTGATATATAAAAATACAGTCACCATTTCATTTCATAAACGTTCACGCAATCAAGAATCTGAGCTGAGAAAAGTAAACCACTCGAGACCAAAGTGACCGTGGCTCATTCTGATTAAAAAAAAAACCTTCTCTCCGTTTAGAAACGATCCTCTGCTAAATTCATTCATGCTGAAAGTTATTCTGGGAACACGTTCAGACAGATTGTAACTTCCAGACGAATGTGTTTTGGTTAGCAGCGATGCTCACGCGTCTCCGTACCTTGCTGCTGCCAGGAGCAGGCAGGCCTCCGTTCATTTGTCTGAACTTCTCCTGCAGCGTCTCGGCCAGCTGGCACAGCAGGAAGCCATTGTCTAACTGATCCATGAAGCTCTCTGCGGTGATTTCCAGACCTGAGGAGGGGGACACAGAAAAAACAAAACAGCAGATACAATCTGGAGCTCATTCCATGTGGAGGCTGAACCTTTTTGTTTTACTCCGACCTTAATGACCAAGCTTCACTGCTGCTGCTGACTTATGAGAAGCTTTCAAAAAGCCTGACCCAAAAATATGAACTGGACGAAATTTAAGGGGGGAGATTTCCTGATAGATTAGCGAAGGAAGATTTGGGGGGGGTGGCATCTGTTTACATGTGGTGATGCAGTCACAGAGACGAAGTGAAGACCAACATGTGGTGTCCGGTTGATGGACTTCCAGAGGACCATTCCTTCATGGTGAGGTCACTGGGAAACAGGAGGTGGTGGCAGGGGATGGAGAGGAGGGGGCGTCTGTGGAAAGAAACTGGAGACGTTTCTTTTTTTTTTTTCTTTCTTATCCCATTTCTGTTTCTTATAAGAGGAAGGGGGTTTGGTGTGTGTGTGTGTGTG